CACCGTCCACATGCATCCGCCACACCCATTTCGGCACACCCCTCACACGTTTCGTGGCCCCATTGGTAGCTCCACCGAAGATTTCAGTGGCACTTTCCACATGCGTCCGCCACACCCATTTCGGCACACCCCTCGCACGTTTCGTGGCCCCATAGGTAGCTCCACCGAAGGCCCCAGCGGCACCGTCCACATGCGTCCGCCTCACCCATTTCGGCAGACCCCTCAGTGGCACCGTCCACATGCGTCCGCCACACCCATTTCGGCACACCCCTCGCACGTTCCGTGGCCCCATCGGGAGCTCCACCGAAGGCCCCAGTGGCACCGTCCACATGCGTCCGCCACACCCATTTCGGCACACCCCTCGCACGTTTTGTGGCCCCATAGGGATCTCCACCGAAGATGATACTCACGACTGCGGTGTTCACAGCTCCATATTGTTGGTTCCTTCGCCATGCTAATTTTAGAGACTCGAGGTGGTCCGAAATCAGATCCGACTTCGCGATCCGATGCCGACAGCTCACGCCCTTCACGCTTGGAGGGTAACATTTCTTTGTTTGTACAGCACCAATATCTCGGGCTTAGGAGAAATACTGTTCTCACGTTCTAGCCACAAACGTCTATGGACACTTTGCGTGCCGCTGCGCATCCGGACGCATGCAGGATGGATACGTCTATAGACACCGCGGCCGCTGCGTTCGGCACAGGTCGGAGAAAAGGTAGACTTGTCCTATGGTATCTTCCTGTTCTATAGCAAGCCTGGCATTTGACTCAAACCAATGCCGATCGCTCCCGCCCTTCATTCGGTGGCGAGCGAGGGGGGGAAGTCAGAAGGAGGAGGAGAGGTTTCTTGTGTCTTCGGGGAAGGTTGTAGCACATTTCGCTCTACCGGTATCCCCGTTTAGGCATCCCATCGCCAGCGCAGACGTCCCCTGCCTAGCCGCCGACGCCTAAAAGTGTCTTCGGGGAAGGCCCAGGACACTTCCCAGGAGGCTGGGGGACTTCCGAGCCTTCGGAGAAGGCCCGCCCCCGCTGACTTCCCCGTGGGCTGCCGGGCCGTCGCCCAAAGCAGGCCGGGTCGGGTCGGGCGCAAGGGCAACTGGGGCGCACAGTAGGGTCCTTGGCGATCTCGGCGCTTCTGGGGAGGGTCCGAAGGTGACGCCCAGGGAAGGCCTTCCAGGGCCGAGGGAGGGCCTTGGAGTTCAGGCCTCCCAGATGGGGTCCGAGCAGGTGGGGTCGGAGGCTCGCGAAGCGGCTATGTGGAGCCCGACTTCCTCCTCCTCCTCCTCCTCCTCCTTCTCCTCCTCCTCCCCCTTCTCTTCCTCCTCCTCCTCCTCCTCCTCCTCCTCCTCCTCCTCCTCCTCCTCCTCCTCCTCCTCCTCCTCCTCCTCCCCCCGGCGCTGCCGCTTTCCCCCCCACCAGGTGCGGCCGCCTGGGTCGGCGCGGGCCTCGGGGGCGGCGCGGCGGCGCTGGCTGGGCGCGCCCCGGCGGCTCAGGCCGTCTCGGCGTGGTGCTCGGCCTGCGGAGGGCGAGGGGTAGGAGAAGGAGGAGGAGAAGGAGGAGGAGGGGGAGGGGGAGGAGGAGGAGGAGGAGGAGGAGGAGGAACATTATTATCACTAGTACTAGCAATAAGAAGCATCAGACAACGAACATGTATACGAATATTATGACGACTACGACCAATATCCATCAAACGCAGTACGCACAGAACTACGACGACGACTACTACTACGACGACGACGATGACGACGACTTCTACTACTGCTACTACTGCTATTATTTCTAGAACGTTCACTACTACTACTACTACTACTACTGCTACTACTACTGCTTCTACTACTACTACTACTACTACTACTACTACTACTACTACTACTACTACGACTACGACTACGACTACGACTACGACTACGACTACGACTACGACTACTACTACTACTACTACTACTGCTGCTGCTGCTACTACTACTACTACTCCTACTACTACTACTACTGCTGCTGCTGCTACTACTACTACTACTACTAGTACTACTCGTGATACAACAACAACTACTACTACTACTAGTACTAGTATTTTTACTACTACTACTACTATTACTACTACTACTACTACTGCTGCTAGTATTCCTATTACTACTACTTCCTACTACTACTACTACTACTACTACTACTACTACTACTACTACTACTACTACTACTACTACTAGTATTTCTATTACTACTACTACTACTACTACTACTACTACTGCTAGTATTTCTATTACTACTACTACTACTACTACTACTACTAGCTACTAGTAATATTACCAATGCAGCGCCAGGATCACCGACAGAAATATTAAGACAAGACGAATACGGCTTATACGGCGAGCATGCGTACTTTTGATACTAACCACACTGCTATCATTACTACTTTTATGATTGCTACTACGACTACTACTACTACTACTACTACTGCTACTACTACTACTACTACTACTACTACAAATGTTACTAGGACTCGTATTATTAGTGGAATTCGTAGTAGTACAATTACTCATGCTTCTACTACTGCTGCTGCTGCTACTACTACGCTTACTGCTCTCATCATTTTAGCAGTAGTAATTCTATTTCTAGACTCAGAATGCTCATACTATTACGGTTAGTAGCTGTTATGATGTTAGTACTAATGCTAGCACTACTCATACGATTACTCAACCTACTACTACTACTACTACTACTACTACTACTACTACCACTACCACTACTACTACTGCTATTATTATTACTACTACTCCGACTACTACTGACATTACTAATACGCATATTAGTATTACGCCTAGCACTAATACTTTCAGTAGTACTTACACGGATACTATTTCTATTACTGCGATCATTACTAACACTATCATTGGTACTGCCACTACGGATGTTGATGCTGCTGATGATGATGATGATGAGGAAGTTAACAACACTAATACTGATAACAACACTAACCACACTACCAAACTCAATATTTTTACGAGTGCTAGTATGACTACCAACCATAATGCTAATCACAGTAGTAAGACCAGCGTTAAGGCAATGCGACAGACCCATACATTTATTATCACAACTGGCACGACTGTTACGACTCATCATACGGCTAGTGATCAACATTAAAGTAAGGGTCGTGAGAACAGCAGTGCTAATCAGGATAATCATGACGGTACTACGAATCATATCAAGAATCAGAGGGATTAGGAGGAGGATGAGGAGGCGGAGGCGGAGGAGGATGGAGGAGGATGATTATGAGGAGGAGGAAGGGAAGGTGCGGAGGAGGAAGAGGAGGCGTAGGAAGAGGAGGAGGTGGAGTAGGAGGAGGAGGAGGAGGAGGAGGAGGATGATTATGAGGAGGAGGAAGAGGAGGAGGAAGAGGAGGATGGAGTGAGGGAGGGAGGGGGAGGGAGGGAGGGCGGAGGAAGAGGAGGAGGAGGAAGATGAGGAGGAGGAGGATGACGAGGCGGATGAGGGGGGGGGGAGTTGGAGGAGGAGTCGGAGGAGGAGGAGGAGGAAGAGGAGAAGGGAGAGGAAGAGGAAGAGGAAGAAGAGGAGGAGGAGGCAGAGGAGGTGGAGCAGGAATAGGTAGAGGAGCAGCAGCAGCAACACCAGCAGCAGCAGCAGCAGCAGTTTCGTCAGTGGTTGCTGATATTTACCACCCATCGTCTTTTTCGTTTCTCTTCTCCTCCACCCTTAGTCAGAACCGTAGTATGCATGCGTTAGTTCGCCCTAAGCCTTAAGTTTTATTGCATAACTTAGGCTCAAGTTTATGCATGCGTATTACCACCTTCAGTTTTATTGTATGCGTATGCTCTGCCCGCGCACACTGCAGCCTGCGGAAGGATCTTGACTCTAGGCCTCTGTAGATGCCCCTGGGCCATAGGAATATGTGCAGCAAGCAGTCTCGTCTGTATTTTTTGTTCGGTAGACGACGATGACGATGAGTCATCGCTGTTTTGCCTGGGCGAACGGTTGGCGAAATCAGCCATTACCAGCTGCAAACTTTGGCCGCCGGAGGCTATTATCGTTTGCTGGGTAAGAAACTAGCTCGTTCCACTAAGCAGCACGCTGATGTATTTAATTTCCCAACCATGCTTTCGTGTTGGGTCCTCGTTTTGAAGAGACAGCGCCCCGCGTTCTCCTTCGGCTGCACCCTCCCTCTTCCCATCCTTGCCTCTGCTCTCCGCATCAGTCTACCATGTCGGCACACCACTCACACGTTTCGTGGCCCCATAGGGAGCTTTACCGAAGGTCCCAGTGCTACCGCCCGCATGCGTCCCCCTCATCCATTACAGCGTTTCGTGGCCCCGTAGGGAGTGGGAGGGGGACGAACGGGTGGGGGGAGGCGTGAAGGGGGGCGGCGGTGGAGTGAGGTAGGCTCCGGTCATGGAGGCAACCGCGTCCTTCCTTTTCCTCGCCCCTCTCCCAAGGACGCCCGCCAGCTCGCTTCTCGCCTGCACCTTCTGTTTCCTGCACACTCTCCTTGCATGCTGCGCGATGTCTCCTTTCCACCCCTTCGCACCTTCCCCTGCGATTCCAGAGGCCAGGACGGGCTCGAGCTGGCCCACGTCGCTTTTCGGCGTTTTCTGCAGCAGATGTGCTCTCGGTGCCGTCGTCGGCCTTCTCTCCTCCCGACCCAGAGACCGGCCGCCAGAAACCCTCGCCGCTCGCTCGGGAAAGGACTCACTCGCTCGACCACGCAGCAGGAGCAGCTGGAGCAGCAGGAGCAGAGGGAGCGGAGGAGTCGGGGGCCACATGCGAACCCTACCCCTACCCCCCACGATTTCTGAGGGGGTGGGGTGGGTTTCACTTCGCTCGGGAGCTGTGAACCCCACCCCCCCCTCAGAAATCGTGGGGGGTAGGGGTAGGGTTCGCATGTGGCCCCCTAAGGAGCAGCAGGAGCAGCGGGAGCGGAGGAGGCCGCCGTCCGTGGCCCCCTCCTGCGGGGGCGTCCTCCGTGCGGGCCGCCCGCCCCCGCGTGCCCACAGGCGGCGGCCGGGGCGCCTCCGGCGCGCCGGGTGCGGCACGGCGCGGGGCCGGGCCTACGGGTGGCGGGCGGCCCCGGCAGGCCCTGCAGCGGCCGCCGCTGCTGCCGCGGGCGCTGCCGCTGCAACCGCCGTCGCCGCCGTCGCCGTCGTCGTCGTCGTCGTCGTCGTCGTCGTCGTCGTCGTCGTCGTCGTCGTTGTCGTCGTCGTCGTCGTCGCCGTCGCCGTCGTCGTCGTCGTCGCCGTCGTCGTCGTCGTCGTCGTCGTCGTCGTCGTCGTCGTCGTCGTCGTCGTCGTCATCGTGGTCGTCGTCGTCGTGGTCGTCGTCGTCGTCGTCGTCGTCGTCGTCGTCGTCGACGTCGACGTCGCAGTCGTCGTCGACGCCTTGCTGTTGGTGGTCGTCGTCGAGGTTCGATCGATTGCGTTTCGAGGAGTTTGTTGTTGTTGTTGACCCACTGAGGTTCCGCTTTGGGACACCAGGTTGGCGCAAACGCTGCGCCAGATGGCGACCAGGATGTGTCCAGGGATTGATTTCGAGCAGGCTTCGGCCCCGCGCTCCTTCACTCGTCGTTGTCGTCGCCGTCGCCGCTGCGACTGTCGCTTCAATATCTCGTGCCTTTATAAGCGTCAAGTTGTCCCTGTGCAGGTGCCCAGCGATCCCCAGATTTCCAGAACCTTCGGGTGTTGTTGCGCCACGCGGAACGCATGCAGCAGCATGCTCTCGCCCAGGCCAGGGCCCAGAGCCCTGGGCTCGACGCCGTTTGAAGAGCTTAAATGCCAGCGATCTGGGGAACGCCAAGATCATCTTCCAGGGCGCCAGACGCACGCTTGACCGCGCGTTTCCCCAGGCCTGGAGGTCTGGCTGGAACCCGCGTGGTCGTCCAGCAGGTTTCCACAATAGCGCCCTGTTCTAGCGGACGGCTCGCCCCCTCTAGGAACTTTCCCGTCCAGGCCCGTCAGGCCAAGGGTTGTCGCGCCAGCCCCCATGGCGGCTTCGGCGGCGTCTCCCGGAGCGGGCCCCGCGCTGCTGCCGATGGAGACGCACACCGTCTGAGCGGGCCTCTCTCTTTCTCTCTCCTTCTCATTCCGCGGCGGGTCCTCTTCTTTGTCCGTTGGTGCAGGTGCAACTCGCTACAGTGCAGCCCGCCGCAGCGCCGACCGCGTCGAGCCTCTTGCTGCTGCTGGCCGCCAAGCTGCCGCCCCGCCGCTGAAGAAATGCGGCTTCGCCGGCGGCTGCCCCTGTTGATGCGCTGGCCACTGCCTTGGCAGGGATGCGCGCGCGCCAGCGTTGGGCTATCGGTACTGCGCGCGGGGAGCCGTGTCGGCCGTGGTGGCAGTCCCCGCCGAGTTCTTATGCGCGGCGGTCGTCTTGGCGCACTCCCGAGAGATCGCGATCGCGGCGGCAGGCGTTGGGCACCGCCGTCGGGAATGCTCCCGACCTCTCGCAAACGACACCCTCGTCCTGCATGGAACTCGCGAAGGGAAGGCCTGCCGTGGCTGCGCGCACAGGTTTCGAGTGGGTGAGTTTCCAGACGGCGTTGCTTCTGGGGCCGCCGTGGTTATGGTCCAGAAAATTGTCAGTTCAGCTGGTTCCAGCCGGATCATGAGATCTTTTATAGTCGAGAGGCATGTCGCCCCACGTTTCTTCGATACCATTGAAAGAGCGTGTTCTACCGCTGCTGGCGGAAAACCGGGGGGGGTCACTACCGGTTCGAACCCCTCCCCCCCCCCCCCTCCGGAAAACCGGGGGGGGTCACTACCGGTTCGAACCCCGGTTCGAACCCCTCCCCCCCCCCATTCATCATGAAAAGGGGGGGGGGTCACTACCGGTTCGAACCCCCCCCCCCCCCCCTCGAAAACCGAGTGGGGGTGCGGACAGTGGTGGGGACGGTGTTGGTGGGGACAGTGGTGAGGGGACAGCGGGACAGTGGTGGGGACGGTGGGGGGACAGTGGGACAGTGGTGGGGACGGTAGTGGTGGGGACAGTGGTGGGGACAATGGTGGGAACAGGGGGGACAGTGGACAGTGGTGGGAACGGTGGTGGTGGGGACAGTGGTGTGGGGACAGTGGGAATGAGGTGGAAACACTGGGACAGTGGAGGGTACAATGGTGGTGGGGACACTGGTAAAGGCGGTGGCGAGGACGGCGGTGGGTGGGACACAGTGGGGACAGTGGGGAGCAGTGGGACAGCTCAGTGGGAGTCAGTGGGACAGTGGGACAGTGGGGACAGTCCGTGGGACAGTGGGGAGAGTGGAACCGTGGTGGTGGGAACAGTGGGGACAGTGCGACAGTGGTGGGGGCACTGGTGGGGACAATAGGGACGGTGGTGGAACCAGTGGGGACAGTGGTGGTGAGGACAGTGGTGCTGGGAACACCAGTGGGGGATGTGATGCGGACGGTGGTGGGGACCGGGAGTCGTTTGCTGGCGGTGAGTGGGGGGGGGGGGGGGTTCGAACCGGTAGTGACCCCTGGGGAGGGGTTTCGAACCGGTAGTGACCCCCCCCGGTTTTCGAAGGGGGAGGGGGGGGGGGGGGGGAGGGGTTAGGGGAGGGGGGGGTTTTGCCGAGGGAGAGGGGGGGGGGGGGGGGGAGGGGTTCAGCAGGGGGGGGGGATTTTCGGAGGGGGGGGGGGGAGACCCCCGGGTTCCGGAGGAAAAGGTTGGCAATTTACCACAGTAAAGCGGCGGTGGATCACGCTCTCTCATACCATTGGAGCCTCGTGGTGAATTTCTGAGTAGATGTTCAACCGTTCAAACGTGAAATTGGAATGCATCGGACAAACAATTGGAGTTGCACCGCCCAGATGGCGCTCGTACTGTCGAACACGGAAGGAAGTTGTTGATGTTGTTTTAACGATGCGGATGATGCTAATCATGATGATGTGGATGATGTTGCTGCTGATGATGATGACGATGATGGTGACGATGCTGATGTTGATGTTGATGTTGATGTTGATGTTGATGTTGATGTTGATGTTGATGATGATGATGATGATGATGATGATGATGATGATGATGACTGATGATGGTGATGATAATGATGTTGATGATGCTTATTCTCCAAATAGGCTTGCCCTATGGGAGCTCTAACTCAAACCCTACTAATTGGTCCATTGCCCCCCCTTATTCCTATGCCCCCCTAGTTCCATGGCTATGCCCATGCCTATGCCTTCCCCCAAACTCCTATGCCTACGCCTATGCCGATTGCGTGTTTTTGCACTTGCTTGCTTGCTCTTGCGTGCTTGCTCTCGCTTGCTTACTCTTGCTTGCCCTTGCTTGCGCCCTTGCTTGCTTGCACTTGATCGCTGGTTCTTGCTTGCTTGTCATTGTTTGCTTGCGCTTGCTTGCTTCCGCTTGCTTCCGCTTGCTTGCGCTTGCTTGATTATGCTCCTCGAGTCCTCCTACCGTCCTGCTCCCGTCCTCCTTTCGTCCTCCTCCCATCCTCCTCTCGTCCTCCTCCTGTCCTCCTATCTATTTGGAGTCAACGCTGGATGGTATGATAATGCTGACAATGATGATGCTGCTAATGATGATGGTGCTGATGATTATGCTAATGATGACGACGATGGCGGCGGCGACGACGCCGAGGATGATCGTCAGGATGATGATGATGCTGAACCTGATGATGATGCCGATGAGGATGGTGACGATTGTAGTGATGATGATGATGATGATGATGCTGTCGCTGATGGTGATGCTGATGATGATGATGATGGTGATGCTGATGCTGCTGATGATGCTGATGATGATGCCGATGATGATTATATTGATGCTGCTGATGATGATGGTGATGATGATACTGAGAACGATGGCAATGGAAATGGTGATGGTGATGTTGACGGTGATGGTGATGGTGATGATGATGATGATGCCGATGCTGATGCTGATGCTGATGATGATGCTGCTGCTGATGCTGATGCTGATGCTGATGATAATGATTCGTATTATTCTAATACTTTTGATTACTATGATGACGATGTCGATGATGCTGCTGCTGCTGATGATGCTGATGCTGATGCTGATGCCGATGATGATGATGCTGATCATGGTGTTTTTTTTTTTTTTTGCATTATTACAAATCGTATTATTATTGCCCTTCTTCTTTTCAGTATCCTTATTACTAGCATTCTGCGTCGCATCATTTGTATCGTTGATTCATTATGCTACCAGTATTATTATGATGAGACTGTTGTTGATGATGATGGTGCTTATGCTGATTATGATACTGATGATAACGATGATGGTGGTGGCGGTGGTGATGGTGAGATGGTGATGGTGATGATGATGATGATTATGATGATTATGATGATGATGATGATGATGATGATGATGATGATGATGATGATGATGATGATGATGATGATGATGATGATGATGATGATGATGATGATGATGATGATGATGATGATGATGATGATGATGATGATGATGATGATGATGATGATGATGATGATGATGATGATGATGATGATGATGATGATGATGATGATGATGATGATGATGATGATGATGATGATGATGATGATGATGATGATGATGATGATGATGATGATGATGATGATGATGATGGTGGTGGTGGTGGTGGTGGTGGTGATGAAGCCAAGCGAGCGACGAAGCGTGTGTCGGGCGGCATTTGCAATTAAGTATTTCGTGCCGTTTTCTGTTGCGAGAACTCTCGCAAAGGTTTTGTCCCCTGGTGTGCCCCCCCAGTGCCCCCACCGTCCTGCCAACCAGGCGGTCCCCCTTCGGTTGCGGCTCCTTTGAAGCGTCCACTCGGCCTGCAGACGCGAGCTTGTGATGTGTGGCACCTCAGCCATGCTGCTGACACAAGGACTGCTTTGGGCCCAGCAGAGGCTCGGGTTTTCGGGCCGTTCCTTCGATTCATGCCGTGCAGCCTGGGCCCGCCGTGGCCACAAAAGCCCTCTGCCCTCCTACCATGCGTTCCTCGTGGTGGCACGATGGCTGCGGAGCGCACTCTTCTCGTTGAGGCAATCCCTGCGAGGCCCCGTGTCGCACTGGCGGCGGCGCGCGACCAGCTGAAAGCGGCGCTGTTCGGCCGGCTGGATGCGGATGGTGATGGACGGCTTCTGAAGGATCGGCTCGGCAGCCTCCGTTGGAAAGCCTACGGCCCACTCACCCCCCCGACTCCGCAAGTAGACTCGGATCGAAGAGCTCGTCGCGATGGCGCCGACGAGGCACCAGACGGCCCCAAGCCCGCGCATCGGAGGCTCTGGCCTGCGGGTCCTCGGCTCCGCAGGCCCTGGCCCTGCGAAGCCTCCCCCCGGGGGGTGCCCGGAGGCCTCCCGCCAGCAGCCCCTCGGAGGCCTGCAGGGCTCCGCCGCGGAGGCCCCGCGGAGGCCTCCTGGAGGCCTCCCGGAGGCCTCCGCGGGACCCTCGGAGTCCCTCGGAGTCCCTCGGAGGTCCGCGCAGGCCCTCGGAGGCTCTCGGAGGCCAGCGGGGGGCCTCGGAGCCCTTCGGCGGCCCTTTTGGAGGGCCTCGGCGATCCCCCCGGGGATCCGCGGAGGCCCTCGGCGGCCTTCGGCAAGCCGCGAGCGCTGCGGGGTCGCCGTCCATCGACCGCGGTCGCGCAGGCCCGACCCTTCCGCGTCGACGGCACCTCGATTCTCGAGGTCCTCTCGAGCACCGAGGGCTGTCATTTTTTGATGTATGGTTTCTCCGATCGGCGCGGGCCCGCGCCCCCCCCCCCCCCTCTCCCCCCGTAGACCAGATCCCGGCTGCTTTCGGGGCTGCTTCTGGCGGCTGGTCAGGACCTCTCCCCCCAGTCTGCTTGCGCGACTGGCAAACGCAGATCGACTAAGCACCGGCCCAGACCCAGACCCTCCACCTCCCCCACCTTTCGGCCAAATGTCGGAACTCAGAATTGAAAACGCCTACAGGCCGAAGCCATCCAGATGGGTAACGGCAGCGCCCCGACGTTGCCGTTTGTGTGGCAGCCCGCTCCAGCACAGGAGGAGCTGCGGCGCTTCGCGCAGGGCACGGGCTTCGATGGCGACGAGGCGGACTGGACCGAGGAGTACGGCGATCTGTGCGAGTCGCTGGGTAGGCGACCCTCGGAAGGTCTGGATGCCACGGCCTTCAGCGAGCTGGTGGACGACGAGGACTCGTCGCTCGTCGCGGCTCCGTGTGCTCGTTTAGGTGGTTCGCGCCTGACGATCTCGTGCCCGCAGACCCGATTGAGCCACACGGCCCCGACATTCGCGGTCACGAAAATGTCTCGTCGTGAATAGGTCGCGGCCGATGCTATCCACCCGATCTTTACGAGTGATCTTTTTATCCGTATCGATTCGTGAGGGCCGCAGCACCCGTATCTTTTTATCCGTATCGATTCGTGATCGTTTTCCAAGGCGCCTGGATGTCGGCGGAGCTGCCCCAGCAGGACCTCCCGCGATCCGATTCTATGCGATTCGATTCGATGGCCATGGCCTCGATTCCAGTTCGATTTGATTCGTTTCGACTCACCTGGCCGGCCAGAGCCGTGCACGGGCGATCCGATTCGGGGCGCTCCGTTGGCGGCCCGATCCGCGAGCCGATCTCGCGATCCTATCCAGCCCAGGCCTGCCGCGTCCGCCTCCCTTCCGGGCCGCTGCACGAGCGAGGCGAGGTCGCCACGGCACCGGGCGCGCGACCGGGCCGGGGCTGCGCCGCACAGGCCTCGAGCGCCCGCCTGTGCCGTCGCGCGACCGCCCGCGCCCTGTCTCCCCACTTAGTGCTTTGCGCGCCCCGCCTAGCTCTTACCCGGAAGAGGCCCGCTCTCGACCCGCAGACCAAAAAGCCGTCGCGCGTGGAGGTGCCTGGCCTCGGTAGCACTCGGGGATGCTGAGGCCATGTGCGCTTCGGTCCCCCCCCAGTGGGCGACGCGCTCGCTCAGGAGTCCTTCGACTCTCTGCTCAGCGGCAGGCGCTCGCTGGCCACACCGCCTGGACGGCGATATACTGGGAGATGTTTTGTACGGTGCGTTCGGCTCTGGCGTGCGCCCCCAAGGGGGGTGCGTGGTATCGCTGCATGCCCCTCTGCGCCCCAGGGCCCCGGCATCCTGCCTGCTCGAGGCCTCCTCGACGGGGCGGAGGAGTGAGCCGGGCCCCCCCGAGCGCACCGCGTCGCCGATGCGTCGGCGATGCGGCACGATCTGAGTCCTGATGTTCTCCAGATCTTCTGGTTGCAAATCATGGGTGCCTTGTATACGTACCTTCGTAATTCCGTCTTTCGAGTGTATTAGCGTCAACTGGCGTCCGGTGATCGATGGGATATTGCCGATTTAATGCCGATTCGCGTCACCAACGTCGAGTAGCGTCGATTTAGCGTGGATAAGCGTAGATTGCAGTCGATTCGCGAGATCCAACAATCAGGAGGGAGAAAGCACAGACACAATTAATCGTCGATTCCCAGGAAGATATGGGAAACCATGGGAAGTGGGGGGAAGACGAACATCAAGAAAGTAAGAGACAATATGGGGAGCCCTGGGCTTTGAGTGTGTTCATCTGCGTGTCCGTGGGCTCCTTCAGGCAAGATGGTACGGGAGGCTCCCCATAGGTTGCTGCAGAAAGACGTCGCGCCAGTGCGTCGCCGATGCGCCCTCGAAGCGGCGGATGGAGGGGCAATATAGGAGAGGGGAGGGGGGGAGGACGGGGTGCCTCGCGGAGGCCTCCGAGAAGCTTGGCCTGATGATGATTTTGCGGCAGCTTCGCGCCCCGTCTCTCGAAATCTACTTTGACCACATTGTGTTTTCATTCCATTCTGCCGGCGTCGCCGCTCTCAAACTTCTTATTATGTCATTGTGCAATTGAGGCAGACTTCGACACCGTGCCTCCAGCACGAAGTGAGCTGCCCCCCAGGCTCATGCAGTTCGGACGGGTGGATGCTGAGATACCGAACAGCAGATCTGGCGAGTGGACCCTTCCACCTGGAACCCAGGGGGGGAGTGGTACCCCGCCCAAGATGAGGCTGTTTTTCGTTGCCTGCACGTCTCACTGCAACGAGGGGCAGAGAGGGGGGAGGGTCTGTGGCGAGGGCAGAAGCGAAGTCTTCGACCTCGGGCAAGACTGACTTGCAGCGCCTTTTCGGCCCAGCGCTGTTTGAACGGGCGGCGGAGGGGGGGGAGGCGGGGGCGAAGCGCCGTGCACGTGAGTTTGCTAGAGTCTGAAGAATCTCAGGAGGGGAAAAACACACAGACACAATTAATCGTCGATTCTCCAGAAAATATGGGAAACATTGGAAGTGGTGGGGAAGACAAGAACCCAGAACATATGGGAAAATAAGGGGAATCTTTTAAAAGATGCTGACACCGCTACATCTACTCCCCAGACGTACCCCGCTGTGTGTTCTGACCAGGGTGTCGAGGCGAATTCAGCTGTGGCGACGAGGGCCTCCCAGGAGGTCCGAAAAGGCGAAGCGGGGGGCAAAGTGCCACGTTGGTAAATTGGCCAGCGTCTGAAATAGTGCGCTATCCAAGTGCATTTTTTGAGTCTAAACTAATTCATCCTTCTCCTTTGCCTCTGCCTCTCGTCCTCGCTCGTCGTGCGTCCCTCCTCTGCCTTCGTGCGTTTTTCCTCTCTCCACCAGTTCACGGTTTCACAGCTGTGCTGCGTCTCCTTGAGTTTTGCGCACTGCGGCGCTGGCCTGGAGAACGGATTCTGGGCCGCGCCTCGCCTCGTTGCGCCTCCAGGTGCAACGCCGGGGCACACCTTGTGGGGATGGGGGCGTCCGGACCATCGCAGGCTTTTGCATCCAGCACTGCAGAGGTTCGTCGCGCTGCATTCCCCTCGGTTTTCCTCCTCGCCCTCCCCAAATTGCGCGATAACGGGGCGGCCTGCTGCAGGACTGCTACTGCGACGACGCAGAGCTGCAGGGGATCCTCGACGTGCTGCCGGCGGCAGGAGGGGCGGGGGGGACGAAAAGGCGGAAGAGCCGGTGGGGGGATCTTTTGGATTGCGCTCTGATTCGCCGAGGAAACGGTCAGCTTAGTGCGGCACCCACTAGCTGCTGGCAGAAACACGCGGTATCTAGCAGCACGGGCGCCAAGGTGTAAATGCTCCACCCGACCATACCCGTACCGAATCCATCACCCCCATATCGTCGGAAGGCGCTCAAGGCGCATCGCAACTCAACAGGAGTAGGGAAGGCAAGAGGAGGCTGATCAAAGTGGGGAGCAGGTGAGATGGCCTGCGAAGGGCCGAAAGGGCAGCTGAGTGGGCGGGTGCGAGGCAGGGGCCAGCGGGAGTGCACGATTTTCGCACGCGATCTGTGGCCCATGCTTGCACCAACGCCGCAGTGCGAACCTCGTGGGGGGGCGGAGGGAGGAGGAAAGTGAGGCGAGAGGCAGTAGTAGTAGTAGGAGGAGGAGGAGGAGGCGGAGGAGGAGAGGGAGGATGATGAGGAGGAAAATGAGGAGGGGGAGGCAGGATGCAGGAGGCAGGAGGAGATGGAGCCAGGATGAGGATGAGGCAGGAGGAAGAGGAGGAGGCCTGAGAAGGCAGGGGGAGGATAGTCTCGTTCGGATTAAAGATGCCATTATGCGAATTTCTGCGGAACTAGAGGTTCCTGAATTTCCATATGGTTCCCTTTCACCATATAGTTCAAAACAATGGCTTCCTGTGGAAACCGGAGGCACTCAAGCTTCACAGGGGTCCCCTCCAAACTTCAGTAACATACAACTGATTGCTCTTTGGAATTGCTGGGCCTTGAATCTCCAGTGGAATCCATTGTTTAATCCAATCGAAGACAACGGGTTCGTGTGGAAATCTGATATTCCCAATTTCCATAGCCTTTGCAAGAGTAGTTTCCTGTGGAACTGGAGTCCCTCCGATTTTCATATGGCTCCTGTTAACCATTCACTTTGAAACACCAAACTTGGAGGACACCAGAGGCTGTCCACAGTTTCTATACCTACTCTTCCTGCTGCAGATCCCTTTTCTCAGCAACGAGGGCATCGATGGGCAGAACTTCTGGTGTGCGTGGACTCGGTATCGACAAGGAGACGCGACACAGGGCGGACAGCTAGCCGAAGGCTTTCCCTTGCTTCGCCCGTGTATGGGCGCACGAGGAGGAGGCGGAGGGATGGTGATGAGGAGGGATGGAGGATCAAGGGTCACGGCAAGAAGTATTCCAGGATACGAGGGGTTGCGCACATGGCGTGCTCGAAGTCTGAACGATGCAGATGGTACCCCTCACGGCCTCGTGCGCTCAGGCAACCATTTGAGAAGGCGTTGGCCTGAACGTTGTCCGACGAGCTTCCTAGCTTATCCCACTGGTCCTGGTGCGCGCTCTCCTCCTCTTCGTGTCTCCTCCAGGCACTGCGTCTTCCAAGCGTCTAGGCGCTAGCACAAGCACTGCTATGGCCAGCGTCAGGTCTCGATACCGTGAGAATCACAGATCCAGTTGATATACGCGCACCTCGTGGAATCACTCGCACCAGCGCGCTATCGCACGCTTATTTGAGACGGAGGGAAATCCACCCCGACCCCGATTATTGGCGTTTGCAAAACTTCCCTGGGCGTTCACTAAGTAGCCCTGCCCCGTTCGATTCCTTCCTCGAGTGCGTTTGCTCAATGGCCTCGCTTGTCGTGGTGCTTACTATGAGGGTCGATTTGTTGGTCTCTCTGTTTTCGGGACAGAGCGGCCGTTTTTGGACATGCCCGCAGGAGGTTCCCCCGCGCCCGTGGCCTCGCCAGCCGTCGCGCTCGGAGCGAAGAGGCCCGTGGGGCTCGACTACTTCCGGGGCGAGCGCGCTGCCGGGCTCTACGAGACGGAGCTCAGGCCCTGGGACCCCGCGGAGGGGACGAGGTCGAGGTCCCCTCGGCTGGGCAGCCACGCGGGCTTCCAGGGCTGCCCGAGCACCGCCAGCGGGGAGGAGGCCGTGATGTTCTTGTACGAGCAGGCTCGCGACGGCATCTTCGGCTCGTACTCGCAGCAGGCGGAGGAGGTCTGCTCGCGGATCTTGGCCGCCGTGGGGGACCCGAGCGCCGTCGGCTGGTTCGAGACGCGGTTGGATGAGAACGCGCTGGGCGAGGAGGAACTCGCGAGGGCTGTGCTGGCCCCCGCTGGCTGGACCGTCGCGCAGGCGACCATTCCGCAGGGGTACATGGAGCATATCGTAACTGTCGGGAGGGGCGTTGAGGCAACGCTGGGCGCTGGCGACAGCATCGTCAACGCCCTGCACAGGGACGTGTCCAAGTGCCGCCGCCTCTGCGACACGCTCCTGATAGGCGTGGTCGGCAGGAAGCGCGTCATCTTCTTCGCCCCCGACGAGTTCGACGTCGACGTCAGCTTCCCGCGGAAGCCTGACTTCTCCTCCCACAACCTCCGCGACATGACGGGCATGACAGAGCACGAGGCGTCATCGATGTTTTGTGCAGTCTTATCTTTGAACTGTAGTGGGCGCCAAACGTATAATTCTTAACCATCGATGTGCATTCTATGTGATACCACCAAACGCGTGAGGATGTCAGCCCGACCTCCCAGTAATTCAAGCATCGTAGAGCGTTTGCCACGGAGCACTACCCATGAGGAGCCCTAGCGATAAGATCACATTGCATCACCAATGCCGAGAAGCTATCACCACTCCTTTGCAATCAGAATTGTGCACCAGCCATAGGCTACCACTGTATGGCGCAATCGCAAAAACAAACAAGTTGCCACAACCAGAGGCATCATAGGGCACCAGCAGTAGAGCATCCCTCCTATAGTGCACTATGGCAATAGCGTGCACGTCGCAATCATCGAAGGCAGCAGTGAGCACCCGCCAGCGAGCAGCACCCACTGGCAGCCTGACTGAACACCACGCGGAACTCGCAATCACATAAGCATCATGAGCCACCCTGCTCAGTGCACGACCCACAGAACACCAGTGGAGTGCAGGCGGAGAGCAGGCGACCGCCGCACCCACCAAAGATATCATAGGGCACCAGCCACAGAGCACCGCCCACGGAGCAGCAGGGCAAGAGCGCGAACATCGCGGCCATCTTTTCCGAGACCCGACCAGACGAGGAAGAGCCCCCCCCCCGCCATGCAAGCACTGCTCGTGGACACAGAGAGACCACACGAGATGGTGGGCCTGTTTTCCACCGCCACCAGCATGAGCAGGAGAGGGACGGAGTCCTCCTCCTCCCATCCTCCTCCTCCCATCCTCCTCCTCCTCCTCTTCCCCCTCTTCCCCATCCTCCACCGCCTTCCCCCTCCAACTGGTGGTGGTGGTGGTGGAAGACAGGCCCATCAAGAGAAGCGCCGCGGGGCCCCGAGGCGTGGGCCCGGCTCGAGGGCCTGGCCCAGCGCGACGACGTCATCGGCGGCGTGCTGACCCTCGAGCCGGGCATGATCCTCTACGTGCCCCACGGCTGGTGGCACGCCGTGAAGCCCATCGACGCCTTCACGCTGATCACCGGCCCCTCGGCCCTGTCCGAGTGCGCACCGATGGAGAAGAGCTGAGGGCACGCCTCCCTGCCTCGCCGCCGCCCCCGGGGCCTCGTGCTCCTCCTCCTCCCCCTCCTTGTCCTCCTCCTCCTCTTCCTCCTCCTCCTCCTCCTCCCTGCCCGCTCCTCCCCGCTCCCCTCCCTCCTCCCTTCTCCTCCCCGCTGCTGCCGCTGTTCCTCCTCCTCCTCCTCCTCCTCCTCTTCCCTCTACTGCTGCTCCTGCTCCTCCTCCCTCTACTTCCTTGCTCGTCCTCCCCCCTGATCCTCCTCCTCCTCCTCCTCCTTCTCCTCCTCCTCCTTCCGTCTTTTTCCTCCATCATCACTTCTATGGCGCTCTCTTCCTTTCCCCTTTCTCCTCTTCCTCCTCTTCTTCCCCTTCCTACTCCTCTTTCGTTGCTCATCCCTCCTCCTTTCTCTCCGCTTCCTCCATCCGCACGTTCCCTCCTCGATTCCCTTTCTTCCCCTTCCTCCTTCCGTACATTAGCCTCTTCATCATTCTCTTTCTGGTTTTCCTTCGATGGACCCGAGGCGTCTTATGGCATACTTTCACCGCCTTTGGCTAGGTTCCAGGGACGCTAGCATTTGCGTTTTCAGGCTCACTGCGTGCCATTCTCTCTTTCTCGCTCCTCTTTCCTACCTCTTCCCACCTCCCTCCGCCGTGTCCTCTATTTCGCCCTCCCTTCTCCTTTCCGTCCTTCTCCTCTTCCCCTTTTTTCGCCCTTTCCCCTTTAGGTATTGAATTCCCTGGACGAGAAGTTTTCCTCTTGGGCCTGGGCATGATGGCTTCAACTCTTCGCGCCAGCGCGCATGAGAGAAACCTGGGCGGATCCGTCACAGGTGGTGCGGATCAGAATTTGGTTTACATTTGTGTTGCGGTGGATCCGATCTCCGTCCGCACGGAGCCGATTACAGATATCATGTATCTGATTTCCGTGATTTTTTTTCACGCGGATCCGCTTCAACAAACATACGATTGAATTACAACGGGCCGTGTCCCCCAGGCCCGCCGCTGTTCAGATTCTACCAGGGAGGGGGTCTGGTCACGAACTGCCACGGACTGGCCGCGGCATTGTCTCACGGGCCTTACCAGCCCTCACCGCACACGGGTCGCACCCGGCATGAACACACCCCCGGGCTGCAGTAAGCAGCTCGTCCAGACGCCGTGCGTTTGGCGGCGCCGACGCTCTCTCGCCATCCGATTGTCGCCGCTGGCGCCTCACGAGGAGCATCTGTCGTCCTGCGCAGGCAGGGATCAGAAAGCGCATCGGGAGTTTGCTTTCAGCTTATTCGGATTGTTGAACATCTGAGTTCTTTGATACTCTCACCTCTGATGAGGTGCAAGCTGCCGCCCCGCGGGCGTGTCATCGTCACCATCGTCATCATTATCGCCACCGTTTTTCTCGTCCTGTCCCCGCATCCTCCCCCTCCTGCTCCTTGTCCTGTTCCCTCCCTTTTGCCTCCTCCGTCCTCCTGTCCGGCCGGGACTCTCTCTCTTTCCGCAGACCTCGGGCGGATTTTTTCTTCAACCCTGGCGTTTTCCCTTGCGCTCGGCCTCCTGGGGCCACGCTCGGGCCATCCAGCCTGGACCTGGGACGCAGAGCTGCCCTTTTGGGGGAAGCGGGGCCCGCGGACCTGGCAGCCTTTCGGTGACGCCTGATGGCTCGCGAGCTCCTTGCCCTTACCCCCCCCATCGTTACCGCTTGGCGGAGAGGTGGCCGAGACCTCCTCCTCCTCCTCCTCCTCCTCCTCGTCCTCGTCCTCGTTTTCGTCGTCGTCCTCCTCCTCCTCCTCCTCCTCCAACTCCTCCTCCTCCAACTCCTCCTCCTCCTCCTCCTCCTCCTCCTCCTCCTCCTCCTCCTCGGGCCCGCGGGCCGAAGCCATCAGCCCGTCGGACCTCTCCAGGCCTCCAGCGGCCCCCGCGGAGCCGCCCGCGCGGAGCCGCCCGCCTGGGCGCCCCCGGGCCGCCGCCGCCGCGGCTCCTCCCCCGCACGCGGCGGGCCCGCGGAGGCCTCGACGCCCGGGTCCGGACGAGCCGCTCGCGGCCAAAAGAACTTCGGCCGCCGGTCGCGGGGTGTGCTGTAGCAGGCCGGCCGTCGACGTCTTCAAAAGCTCTCGCCCGGTCCCCGCCGCGCCTTCTGTAACGAGCCATCCGTCGACGTCTTCGAAGCATTCGCTGGGACCCTGACGCGCCGTATCTTCGTTACCGAAACTCGACCCCCTCTGTCAAGGGAGGAAGAACCACCCGGATCCGACAATTGGCGTTTACTGAACGGCCCTGGGCGTTTAGTAAACAGCACTGCCCTGTTCGATTGCATCCCTGGGTGCGTTTACCAAACGGTTTCGCTTGTCGGGGTGATTCTTATGGGGTGGATTCAATCACTTGCTCAACTTGAAGCTGTCCCCTCCACTGCTCGCGCAAACATCCCACCCTCCCACACGCAACTTGGTTTGCAAAACCTCTTAAGACCGACTACGACGACACCGACGACACCGACGACGACGACACCGACGACGTCTCCGACGACTTCGACGACGACAACGACGCCGACGCCGACGACGACGAAGACGACGACGACGACGCCAACGAAGGCGACGACGAGGGAGGAGGAAGGACGACGACGGCGACAACGACGACAACGACGACAACGACGAGGGAGGAGGGAGGACGGCGACGACGCGAACGACGACGACGGAGGAAGGACGGCGACGCCGACGACGACAACGACGAGGGAGGAGGGAAGACGACGAGGACAACGACGACGACGACGGTGACGAAATAGAACCGACGACGAGACGCCGACGACGGACGACGACGACGACGTGGGAGGAGGAGGACGGACGACCACGGCGACAACGACGACGGAAACGACCACGACGCCAAAGAGGACGACGACGACGAACACGAGAAAAGACAGAGGACGACGTAGGCGACGACGACGACGACGACGACGACGCAAGAGCGCGCGCGCACGCTTTTGTTGAAAATCCGTGTTGCGAAACCTTAGGTTTTTGTAGGTTTTTTGGACGCACGATTTTGAAATCCTTCCGAAACCGATGGGTTTTGAAGGTTTTCGGCATACGCCCGCGACGACGCGCGCGTCTGCCCTTCGTCCCATTTTTTGCAGAGGATTCTCGCGACGGCACACGCGCAAGGGCGTTCGACAGATTTCGACATGCGCGCGCGCGAAGCCCGTTTGGTAGCATTTTGTGAAATATTGAAAAACCAATGGTTTTCTTAAGATCTCGCAAGAGCTCGCGCGGAAGCTTTTTTAGCAAATCAGTGTTGCGAAACCCTGTGTTTTTGTATGTTTTTTTGGAAACTCGATTGCGAAATCCTTCCGGCACCGGAGGTTTTTGAAGGATTTCGGCATGCGCGCGCGACGACGCGCGCGTGTGCAATTCGTCTCGTTTTTTTGCAAGGGATTCGTGAACAAGTGTTATGTTAGAACAAAACATGTCACCGCATAATGTTTTTTACAAGGGAACCTCAGGGGGGGGAAACCGGTTTGGCTGGGATGATATGATTTCATATTTAGGATGGACGAGTGGTCAGAATCATATATGATTTACATACCCGAAGGGGGAAACGATAAGTGGGGGGGGTAGAGTTTATCCTCCTTTAGAAAGGAGAATTTATGCCTTCCACTCTGGTCGCGCCCGCAAGGTGGAGTGGCCGAGATCCGCGACCGAACCCTTCTGGTCCTCTTCCTCCCCAGTGGTTCCGTGGCGGCGGCGGGGCTTGGCGGTGGGGCCCGGCGCGGGCCCCCCAGAGGCTGCAGATTGCCGGCAAAAGCGGCCCGCCGATGGGAGGTCTCGGGTAGCAGATCATGGGAGCATCCCGTGCCACTTTGTCGGCTCTCTTGCGAATCGACGCCCATCGACGCTGATTCGACGCTGCGTCGACGCCGAGAGGAGGTCTTCGGCATCAGATCATTTGAGCCTCTGTGCGCCCTCGCAGGTCTTGGCGCTTCGCGTATCCCCACCTGCCAATCCAGAAATAGATCGCCAGGCGAGTTGCCTTGATCAGGGAAGTGTAGAAGCAGGCAGTGTAACAGCTTCCTCGGAAGGGCTTTCGCGAAGGTCTCTTGGAGCCATCTTGGGTCTCTTTTGGGGTCCTCGTGGAGCCACTTGGGGTACTCTCGGGGTCCTCTTGGGGCTCTGTTGGGGGGTTTAGTGGCCCTCTTGGGGCTCTTTTGGGGTCTGGGAGGCCTCTTGAGTCAATCTTGGGCGGGACGTGAATTCGGGTCCCCCCCTCGGAGGCCCCCAAATAGCGTCTTCGGGCCGTCTTGGGGCGCTCTTGGGGCGCTCTTGGGCGCTCTTGGGGCCGTCTTGTAGCCTTCTTGGGTTCCTCTTGGGGCTTTCTTGGGCCATCTGGGCTTACCGATGAGAAGCGCCGATTCAGCGCCGATTTAGCGTCCACTAGCGTCGACTAGCGTCGATTCGCAAGAGCCAACGAGATGGTATGGGAGGTTCCCATGAGTTGCCGCGGAAGATTGCCAAGAGCTGCTCGTCGTGCTTTCACTCACGACGAGAGGAGTCGGCCTAATGTAAGAGTGACCGTTCGCCGGAGTGACCATTAGTGCGGGCCCACAGGAGTACCTCCTGCACTGGCCTGTGCGCCTGTGGCTTCCCCATGGCCACCTGCAGCCGCGCATCAAAGGTCACTCCTGTCTAGGGTGTCTCTTGCACAATTCCGTCTTCAGAGTGTATCAGCGTGCGCTAGCGTCTGGTGACCGTTGATCAAGCGCCGGTTTAGTGTCGATCAGCGTCGATCCAGCGTCGATTTAGCGTCGATTCGCGTGGATTCTCGCAGATACACCAGAGCCAACGAGATGGCATGGGAGGCTCCCGTGAGTTGCCACCGAAGGCTGAAAAGTGCCCAACGCCGCCCGTCGTGCTCTCCAGGGCTGGACCTGACCGGTGTTTTGCTGGACTTTGGCCGTGTTCCGTTCTTCGTTGTGGGAGGTGGGTGCAGGAAAACAGGCAACAAAACGACAACAAAACGAAAAACAACGTTCAGGTCCAGGTCGACGTGCTTTCTCCCGCTCGCGTCGAGAGGAGGTGAGGGGCGGCCTCTCGCCGCCGCCGCGGCTCGTTCCGAGATCTGGGCC